TGTTTTTTTTTTTTTTTTTTTTTTTTTTTTTGCTTTGTGCTTTATCTGATCTGTGGAATTCTCAAATACACAAAATATTGGTGCAGGTTTGAATTGCCTCCCTGTTGTACAATTCCAAGAAAATAAGTTTTGTAAACTAGATACTTTTATGGGGATAGCAACATTGATGTACTGTTAATGCGAAAAGAGTTTAAACTTTATCTTGGACATATGTTGCAAATAATTTCTTACAAAACTGCATATGAATCTTCTTTATAAAACAAATAAAAATAATTTATATTTTACCTTTTCATGATTTATTCTCTGGGGCTATCAACTCTCATGGCAGACTGCAGTTAAATTAGGATTTGATTGGTGTGTGATATGTATCATGATCTTCATTTAGGTGCTTAATCCTCAAATCTTTAGTGCTGAGTTTGATTTCCCTGGCTGAGCACGGAGGGAGATTCTGCACAAACTCATACCAGCCGAAGTGCAGAGTGGGGAAATGCCATCACTGACACCAAGTCTCAAACTATGCCAGACTGTATGTGTGCCCTTGGCTTCCAAAGTAGGGGCTTATCTCCTCAGAACCGAAACCTTGTGTTGTATAATAATGTGTTAAATAAGTACTGATGAAGAAAGAGTTCTCTGTAGTCTTGTAGGTAACTCCAGCTCTTGAGGAACTCATAGTTTTGGCTGCCCACTTTGCTGTTATTGCTCCCACCCCAGTGGTACAAATGCATAAACGTGTGGTGATCAGAACCGGTTGGAAGTTTTACCAGAAGTAAGAGATGGTGCACACAGTCACCGTTTAGGTGGAATGTGGCCTACAGCAGAGTGTGAGGGGCTGTGCGCTATTTTCTTAGTCTGCAACTTAGACCAATATCTGATTTTTTTCCACACACTGAAGCTGTGACAATGCATGGTCAAAACTGAGCTCCAAAGTGAGTGTCTCTGGACTCCTTCAAGGAGCTAGGAAGATCTCCCAAGTCCAGCAGTTGTGAAGCAGCCAACTGCCTCTGCAGCCAGTTGCTGGGGATCAAGATTTAATTAAGCAGGAGATGCTTATCAGTCCACAGGCTGTCTGCAAGGGCTGCTTTAGAGTCCAGCTATGTAATTCCTTGCAGACTGCTTTTGTTCCTGTGTATTGTATGGGTATGCAATCAGGGGCTGCATACAGAACAGTTATCCTAAGTGCTTCATTCCAAAATCATAGGATTACTCAGGTTGGAAGAGACCTTAAAGATCAAGTCCAACCATGACCTAACCATACTACCCTAACAACATGAATGTTATTAATCCCATCCTGGATTGCTGCTTGTGAGAATCACATGGGCAGTTTGCTTTTTTCCTACCTAACAGTTGTATGTCAGAGCCAAGTGCTACGGGAACCATTTCACAAACAGTGAACACGTGATGGCAACGAGGGGACAAGGTTGAGACTGTGTGCCCCTTAGGCTTATGACAGGAGAGAGACAAATACCACTACTTACACCTGAGGAATTGAGTCTGCATTTTATTATTATTCGTTTTCTGTGAATTCGTGAAGTCACCGTGCTAATTCACCATTGTTTGCACACCTCAGCTCACCTTCTTTGCAAGTGTTTTCCAGTCTCAATCCTTGGCCCCTTTCCCAAACGTTCACTGCTCCGCCCTAGCAGGAAGCAGAGGCGATGAGTACTTCACGCTCGTTTTAAAAACTGAGTCATCTATCCCTCCGCTGTGCGCAACAGCAACCAGGCGTTGCGCTACTCTGCCCACTCACCGCCATTCTACACTGCCTCTGGGCTAGCTCAGCCGTTACAGCCGAGGGAGGGACGTTTCCTCTCTACCCGTACTGGGAAAAGGGCGGGCTAGCAGCTGGGCGTGACAGAGCCGAGCCGAACCCCGCACAACGCCGCCCCTCCGCCCGGACTGGGCCGCGACACTCCCCGTGCCGAGAGCGTAGTGCCGGGGGCGGGACAGGTGTTCCCTCCACCAATCAAAGATGTCGACGGGCCCGTCAGGTGCTGCGACTGGCACCCAATGGGCGAAAGCGACGCCTCGCGGGCTCTGATTCAAACGGTCGGCGGGCGCAGCGCGTGCGGCTGCTGGTTTCCGTGGAGACGGGGAGGCCCGGCCGCGTCCATGGAGCCGGGGCTCGTCGGGCCCGGGCCGTACCGCGCCACCCGGCTGGTGAGTGAACGCCCGCTGGGCCGGCTCCTGCTCGGAGCCCTGCGCATCCTTACTTAGTCCCGGGGGGAGCTTCTCCCTAGCGGTTCCGTGGAGCTGAGCCTCTGAGGGCCGAGCGCTGCGGCCCCGGGCCTGTCCGGGCAGCCTTCCCCGGCGGCCGGGGACCTGAGGCGCGCTCAGATACGCGCTCAGAGGCGTGCTCATATGCAACGCCGGGTGCTGGCGCTACCTGAGGTGAGTCCGTGCGGGGCGATCGGCCCTGCGGAAGGCGGCCGTGGTCCGGGCCTCCGCCTCACTAACAGGGCGAGGGGCGGCCGAACTTCCCCCTGGAGCCGCTGAGCCGTCGGGAGCGGAGGGCTGTGGGTGTCCTGGCTGCCGTGTTCTTGTGTCCGTTCTCACATCTCTGGTGTTTAAATGAAAGTTCGGGTTTCAGTGTGCTTGTTGCCCAGGTGAACGAAATCTACCCAAATCTGTGTTCTGCGTAACTAAAACGCTTCCTGTGGAAGAACTCCCGTAACAGTTTGATTTGTGTCTCCTTCCTAGTGGAATGAGATAATCGAACTCTTCCGTGCTGGAATGCCTCTAAGGAAGCATCGATGCCGCTTCAAAAGCTACGAGCGTTGCTTCAAAGCCTCGGAGGCAGTGGACTGTTTGCATGAACTACTTGGCTCTAACCAAAACTTTGGCCCAGAGGTGACTCGCAGTCAAACGGTTAAGCTGCTTAAAAAATTCCTGAAAAATCATGTTATTGAAGATATTAAAGGAAGATGGGGCAAAGAGGACTTTCAAGATGATGGCCATTTGTATAGGTAAAGCTGTGTATCGTAGCTGTGGAAAATGTAGGTTTTATGAAAACATTAATAGCTTTTATGTAGGGGTCTTACAGATATTTCTGAAAAATGCTGTTGCAGAGGTATTAGTGTGTCTTTTTCCTTTCTGTTAAAGACACTTTCTCCTAGTGATGTCAAGTAGCAGGACTTAACGCTTGATTTTTTTTTTTTTCTCAATATATTTTTATAGGAACTTTTCACTTGATTTCATGTTACAAATACAAAGTCATTTATAGATTTTACAAGGTGGCAGAGTCTTTATGCTGTTGATAGATCTCAGGCTTGTCAGTAACTGAAAGTGTATTGAAAAGTGCTGATAAAAGTGGGTATGATAGTGAGTGTCCAGCTCCAGTTCTCCTTCCCCAGCCCCTCCCCCATCTGCCTTGGATGAAATTTCCATTCCTTCTCAGAGAAGAGGGGCCATCTGAATTTAAGTATCATCTGCAACAGCACTTTTCTTTACACCTTGGATCATCGATAGATATATTCTCTAGTTAAGAAAGTCTCCTGAAAGAAAAAAATTCTTACTTACATCAAGGATAATTGTTTGTTTATCCTTGTCTAACCTTTTAACTTGTACTTTGTTAACAGAGATAAACTAATCTATTTGAGTCAAAAGCTTAGTATGTTTAGAGGGGTTCTTTCACTTCCTGTGGCATCTGTTAAGGCTTGGGTGTCAACAAATTGTGGGTTCTAAATTCTTACATTCTTATATTGTCCTGTTTAATAATGTAAAAGTA